ACAAAGGAGTCACCCTAGACATGGATTGGTGAGTGGTCGGATGGTAGGCTGGTTCTTCCCTGCCTCCTTGAAGTTAGATGGCCAAGTGACTTGCTTTGGCCAATGAAATGTCAGCAGAAGCCATGTGTCAAGTCAAGAGAGTATTCTTGGTGGCCCGTGTCAGACTGGCACCTCCTCAGTCCAGGTCCCCTGGTGACTGTGACAAGCAGAGACCCCTGGCCAACTCTTCACTGAGTACAGTGGGAGCAAGATGTAAGTCTTGTGTGTGAAGCCACTCAGATTTGGGGCTTATTTGTTACCCCAGTAGAACCTGGCTTGTCCTGCCTGGTGCACAGGGGAAACTCGGATTCCACAATGTTAAGCTTGTGATGCAAACTTGCCCTTGGGGTTGCAGGGCAGAGATGTAACACACAAAGCAGGCAGCTGTGCTGAAAGAATCTAAAATGTGTATTATATCAGGTTGAAGAAGTCTTGATCTCCAATTTCCTCCAATGAGTGTGATTTATTATTTTTTAAATAGGGGACACTTTATTCAAAATTTAGTTTCTTTGGGTCAAACCTGGGTCCTTCCTGGGCTCTTGGTTATGCAATGCAAATCCCTTGGAGGAGGGAGGAAGAGAAGAAATTTCAGCTTTAGCCTCAAAGGATCAAAGGGATGGAAAGGTCAGGAGCTGACCCCCCACCTCTGCTGAGGACTGCGCTCCCCGGTCCTCTGGCCTCAACAGCTCCCTGGAAACCAGATGCTTGGCTGCCACATTCCCCGCCCATGTGGCTCTGGGCCTCCGCATTCTGCTGTTAGATGGGAATAATTCCAGTCCTGGCTGCCTCACGGGCTTTTGGGATGATTGGGCGAGATGAAGGATGCTCAATACGTGCTTCTGTCTCTGTCTTCTTGTGTGTTGGGTGACCTTGAACATGTTCCCTAACCTCTGTGAGCCTCGATTTCCTCATGAAGAAGGAGAAGGATGATTGTACAGGCTAAGACAGGGCTAGAGGACCCTGTGCAGAAGCAAAGAGAGGGGCCTGGGGTGGTGAGGGAGGACTTCCTGTAGGAGGAGGACTTCAGCTGGTACTGGGAGGATGGAATGCAGAGCCCCTGGTTCATGTGGTAGTTCTGTCCAGAACCCCTGCTCTCAGCCCCACAGAGGAGACTCCATCAAAAATATACCAGTGGACTAATATCTGCAGAGAGCGGGTGGTGGACCAGGCTCGCTGCTCACGTGATCAGCCCACGCAACAGGCCCTTTGGGGCAGGACTCAGAAGGACTGATACAGGGGAGTGTTCCCTGAAAGTGGATGGCAGTAGAGGCCTGGAGCCCAGCCTGCTCTCGACAAAACAGCTGCCCTTTGCTTCTCCAGGATGAGGAAGCCACGGGTCATATCCCTTCCAGCCCATAGGGCCACCTAGGATGCCCCACTTCCTTGCCGGACTCTTGTAGACATGTCCAATCTCTAGGGTGACCACATGCCTTGGGGTGTCTGGGGCTGTCCTGGTACACCCCCATTGTCTCGGAACCCTCTCTAAGCTGGCACTCTCACGCTGTCAGAGTCCCGTTGGATCGTGACTGTGTGCCCCCCTAAATCTATACAAGCCTCCAGGCAGATGGCCATGGTTTTGAGCTGGCTCAGGCCCCTCTAGCTGGGCCATGGGCCCTGTAGGCTTCAGAGCCCTTATCTGTGGAGTGGGGATAGATAACAGAGCCCACTCTGGGCAGTGGTGGAAGGTTGGCAGGCAGCATGCTGGCAGAGGCCCAGGCCCTAGTTAGTGCCCCTTGACTGGTGGCCTTGGCCATGACATATTGCTGCTGAGCATGCTGGGGGTAGGGCAGGGGTGTCTGGGTGCAATCTGGAGCTCTGAGTCTTTGTGGCTTGTTTTGAGGGTCACTTGCTGCTAAGAATTCACAGGAGGATATAAAGGGAAACCTCCATCAGTGTCGCCTGTGTCAGCTTGGGAGGAGCAGGGACTTCTGTGACTCATAAAAGTATTCTTCTCTGGGGCAGGCCTGAGGTTTGAGTAGCCCCCTGGGCTCCTGGGGTGAGCCACTGCCCAGCCTGTGCCATCCAGAGGGGCCTGGGTCTTCTCGGGTTTTCTTATGGACCCCTCTCCTCTGTTCCTCCCAGCCTCCACCTCCCACCAGGCCCCCTTCCCACACCTGGACTGCAGCTCCCAGCCCCTTGTTCCATGGGGAAGTCGTGTCTGCCACCCCTGGCTGCCCTGCCTTGGCTGCAGACTCTGACTCATCCCTGTTTCTCCCAGAGCCCTGCACAAGCCTGGAACTCCGTGCCGGAGGAATGAATTCTCCCTGCGAGGCCCCTCGGGAGCTGGCTTTTCTCCTGGAGGGAAGCTGTCGGGTGTTGGGCAGAGGAAACTGCACTGGCGGCTGTCTGGAAGACGCTGAATGGGGCGCGGATGGCATTGCCAGGCAGGGAGGGGGAGGTGGAGGCTGCTCGGTGGGGAGCTTTCCTCTCCTGTGAATGTGGGTCCAAAAAGGGCCAGCCACTGGTCTGACATCATAGCAATTCGGGGCAAGGCCAGGGCTTCAACCCAGATGTGTCTCACCAGGAGACTTTGCTCTTCAGCTATTCTGGGGAGATCGGAGAGGGGGTGTGTGTAGGGGGGAGGGTCTCTGCTGCCCCTCGGAGGCCAGGCCAGCAACACACTCAGAGGGTGGTCCTCCCATTGCTGGGAAGGAGGGTTCAAGGCAGAGCCCTGGTCGGGGAAGGCCTGTCTTTGCTTCTTTGATACTCACACTTTGTGCACCCCCAGGGGAGCGCCTGAGTCATCACTGAGCCGGCAAACATATTTAGCTCCTTTCATTGTCCCTAATAAATCAATTTCTGTAGGTCTCACACCTGCCGCTTGACTGCTGGCTGCCCCCCCTTCCTCGCCCCTCCTTCCCCCTCCTGCTCCCTGGCATTCAGGTTCAGGGCCCCAGTGCCTGTTCCCGGTTACCCAGCACACTCCCACTCCTCAGGTGCGGGGCAGGGGCCCACTTGCCTCCCCAGAGCCCCCTTGCCCTCTCCCACTCCACCCCCTGGCATCTTGTGCCAGACTTGTTCTTCTCCGTCCAGTGACGGCCTCTGTTCAGCAGCCATGTTACCGCCCCCCCTAGTCAGAGCTTCATGACAAGGGGCACTGTGGCCTAGGAGATTCAAAGGGTCACAGCACTGTGCACACAGCTTGGCTCTTGCTGGGACCTGGCTCTCCTCAAATTTGTATCCTCTTGGCCCACAAGACTTGTTTCTGGAGTCCAAGGGAGTCCAAGAAGTACCAAGCCTTGATGTGCATCCTTGTCTTGTTCCTCCCAGTCCCACTGGCTGAAAGAGCTAAGCTTCCACTTCGCTCATCTTTAATGGGCACCTCTTCCAAGAAGCCTTCCCAGATCTTCACCACCCCCATCCCCATCTTTTCTCCTCCCGCATGGCCTCAGCCGGTTTTGTATCTCCATGAGACATGCACACATTTGGCCTTGCAATAACAACAGTGATAAGTGACACCATTTAACATAAGCTTGAGTGGGTGCTGAACACTGTTCTAAGTGTTTTTGCATATATTTAATTATTCCCATATTATAGATGGAAAGTCTGAGGCTCACAGAGCTTAGGGAATTTGCTTAAGACACAGGTAGAGTTGGGCCTTGAACCCAGGCGCTCTGGGTGGCTCCCGGACCCCCTGTGTGGCCTTTTGCACTTTGTGGCTCCTCCTCACTGGCCACCCCTCTCCCACACCTGTGTCAGCCCATCCCTAGGTGGGGGCTGTTATACCCGTGTCTGAGACACCCTTGCCCACAGAGGTCCCCGTTAAAGGTCTGTGTGATGGCAGTCACCAGTCCGCGCCCTTCAGGGAGGCAGCTCACACCTAGAGAGGGTCACAGCAGCCTGGTGTGAAAGAGCTGCGTGTCCTGACCCTGGGGCTGAGCCCTGCAGGACGGTGGGTGGCGGGGAGGCCTGTGCTTCTCTGGGCCCTGGGTGTCTGTTGGGCGGCTCCAGCCTGCTGGTCCTAGCAGACAAGGTGCCTCTCCTCCAGCCTGCCCAGGCCACGGGTCTACCCTGGCAGACCCTCGTTCCTGCCAGGGGTATGTGGCCTGGGCCCCAGTCTGGCTGTTTCCGGGAGGAACCTCTCATCTTTGAGGGGTGGGAGCCCCCTGCCGCCCAGAGTGAGGAGTGGCGGAATAGTGGGAGGCGGGCAGAGGCTGCCTGGGGAGGAGCAAGGGGGCTCGGCCAGCTGGGTGGGGGCCCACTACTCCTGGGTGGTGATGGGCCCTGCCCCCCTTTCCTGCCACTCCCCCCGCCCTTAACAGCGCCGCCCCTTCCCACAGCTCCCTAATCCTCCAGACGTTTGCACCCGCTCCTGCTGGCTTTTCAGTTGACTTCCGTGTAACCAATAATTATTTTGTTCTTACTGTGTCCTAGGAACAGTCTGGTCTGCGAGGAGTCAGTGTGCCTGGGGGATGGGGTGGGGGGTGAGTGTTGGGGAACAGACAGAAGATGAGCTCACTGCATTCTCAGGTACGTGTCCTTTCTCCCACCTGGCCGCCACCACTCAAGCACAGCTCCTGTGAGAAGCCTCCCCAGACTGTCCGTCAGCCCAGCCCGGCCTCCGCTGGCCCCTGCACCCCAGCTCTGCTACAGCACGGGTTGGCCCGGACTGTCCCTGCTTGTTCGCACCTGTCTCCCCCACCTGGTCTGAGGTCCTTCTGAGGACGAGGGCTTTGGGTCCCATCCCTGGCTCTGTGTGCAGAGCTGGCATAGGGCAGGCACTCAACGAGCAGAGCCCAGTGCGTGAATATAGGGACAAGTTGATCGGTCCAGGGCCTGAATGTCTTTGCGAGTGACTCACTGGTGGAATGTCGGAGGAGGGGCTGGGCTAGGGTGTGGGAGCCACTGGAAGCCCTGCATCTGGAGGGGCTGCCTAGACCGTTAGTGCTCCGACCCACTAGAATGTAAGCCGCACGTGGCCAGGGAGTCTGTCTTGTTCCACTAGCGCCTGAAACAGTGCCTAGAATACTGGAGGTATTTAATAATTCTCGTGGAAAACACAAGTTAATGAAGGTTACTGAGTTCAAGCCCCTCTTGAACACCCCAGAGGATCACTGGAGCCAGCCTGTGCTTGCATCCCCCCATAGACAGGGAGCTTACTCCCTATGTCCTGAGGCGGCCTCGCTTCCTCTTTGGACAGCAGTGCCTGCTGGGAAGTTCTTTTGCTTTACCCCTGGCCTTGGCAGAGCCAGCTCACCCAGTGTCTGCTCTGAGGAAGCCCCTGTGGCAAATCCAGCCCACGGGGACATCTGTCCAGTGTAGTAGCCTCTAGTTCCTGAGGTTGAGAGTCCAGGGCCCTCTGAGGGCCCACTCTTTCCTGTCTGGCCCTCCTGCCCTGCGCTGGGAAGGTGATGAAGGGGAAGGGCCAGGGCGGGGTCAAAGATGGCAGCTGTGGTCCTGGAGAGAAAGGGCAGGGCCCCACTCATGACTTTTATTCTCTCTTCTGAGTGATTCATGCCACTCATGCCTAGAAATTGATCCCCACTCAATGACGGGGGAGGAGCCGAGGACCAGAGAGGGGACAGGAATGGACTAGACAGTGTGTGCCAGGGGAGATGAGGGTCTCAGACTCTGTGACCCCCAACCAGTGTTCCTCCTGTGACCCCTGGCTGCCCCTTCACGGGCCAGTGAGGTGGCTGAGGCGGTGCTCAGCTCCCAGGCTGACACGGGGTCCGTGGAAGTCCTAAAATGTTCTGTGAGACCCCCTCCTGCAGCTGCCCAACCCAGACCCTCCTCAGGGTGACATTGTTACCAGGCCTTTGCTCACTCCCAGAGACAGGGGTCCCAGTCCACAAGGCGGCTGCTCCTTCCTGACCCCGTGGAAGGTGTGCACGTGGGGGTGGGGGTGGAGGGAGGAGAGGTTGCCCCCCTTCTCCGGGGAACCCAGCCAGCTCCCACGCGCCTGCTCAGGCTGGCGCAGGCAAGCTCATATCCTGCTTTCCACAGGGAACTTCCCCCTGGGGACTCCCCCAGAGCCCGAGTGAGGGGGTGAGATGTGCTTCTGAAAACCCTCCCCCAGGCTGGGGCCTCCTTGGAGACAGAGCCATGCTGTGCCATGTGCTGGAAGCCAGCTCAGCTCTGCACAGCGCTGCTGCAGAGGGTTTCAGGATGCGGGGACCCAGCTGGGCTGCCCCTCACCTCCATGGGAATTCTGCTCAGGGATCTCGCCGGGAACTCATGGCTGAGACTCTACCATGAGCTCAGTGTCACTTGTGGACTTGGCTGCTGCCTCCAGGCAGCCCTCCTGGTCACCACACCCACACAAGCTCTCTTCTTGGCCTCTTGGAAAGAGCATGAGTGGAGTCAGCAGTGAAGCCTGCTTGTTGGTCCTGCTTGATTACGTCTGTCTGGGATGCTCTGTCCATTTTCTGGAGGGGTCCCTCTCCCCAGAAATGGACATCCTGAGGGTGGAGCCCACTCTGCTCTCAGCTTCCCCCTGGCTCTCAGTCCAGAGTCCCCTCCAGCTAGTGAACAGGTGCAGACATCTCCAGCTGGAATCTCCTTAGGGAGACCTGGTGCAATCCTGTCTTCTGCCTGGAAGAAGCAGTTCAAAGAGGCGGGAGGCAGCCAGCTCACTGAGTGCTGGGACCTGCACTGGGGCTGTGGCTAGCATCACCGGGTGGAGAGGGCCCAAGCCATTTCTGTCCAAACATCCAGGTTTTCCAAGAATCAGAGCAGGAGATTTGGACTGAGGGTGCAAAGCACGCTGGAGGCGGAGCTTCGGAACCCACAGCCCCTCCCACTTTGAAGACTGACAGTGTTTCAGAGTGCCGGGAGACAGTCCAGAAGAGAAAACTAAGGCCCAGAGAAAGGACAGGGGCCCGAGTATCTTGGGCTGATTTCTCTTCTACTGCTTTCCTCAGGCCTCTCCTGCAGTGGCTGGGTGCGAGGGGCCTCGTTACTGGCTCTGGGCCCTCAGCTGCTCCCACCTACCCTCCTGAGCTCAGTTCCACTCCCTCCAGTCAGCTTGAAGTAGTGGGGGGAGGGGGAGGATGCCCGCTGGCCAGGAAAGGGTGCCCTGGACTGGGAGATTATGGGGTTCCTGGGACACCTGGCCCCAGCACCTCCAGCACCATCTCCCACGAAGCTCATTGCTTGTTGGCAATCTTCTTCTTCCGAGCAGAGACCAGGTCGTAGAAGGGGACTCGGGTGATGCTGGCTCTGGAAGGCGGGTAGGTGGAAAAGTTTCAGGGCTGAGCTGGGCATGAGGGGGTCTCATCTCCCAGGGCTCGTTGTAGGGGCATGGATTTCCCATGGAGAGTTGGCCTGCCCCACTGCAGGGGACCAGATCATGGGGAGTCCAGCCTCAGCGGCCTGACCCAGAGTCCCATGGGCAGGGACAGAAAGGGCGAGCCTGAGAGCCGAAAGCCTTGGGAACTCTGCCCCCAAATGTCCCCGGGCCCCTGTTCAGGCTCTCAGAAGGAGATGGAAGCAGCCGAATGGAGTTGGCAGACTTGCTTGCTGGGTCCACTCTGTCCCTCACTTGCTGTGTGGCCCTGGGCAAGTCCCTCCCTTCTCTAGGCCTCAGTTTTCTCCCTCCCTGGTCTGCATCTCCCAACGGGCTCAGAGTCAGGGTTGTTACCCTGCCCCTCGCCTATCTCTCCATTGCCTGGTTTTTTACTGCCCGTACACTGTACACCTTCTCACCTGGCCACCCCCTTCTCTGTTTACCAGTCTGTGGTTCCCCAGTGCCCCCAAGAAAACCAAGCTTGTTGCCATGGTGACCAAGACCTTGCCATCCTCTGCAGCTTCATCTCCCACAGCTCAGCCCCCACAGTGCCCAGTGCCTGCACAGTCAGGCCCCACAGCACCCAGGACCAGCCACCCAGAACTCCGGGTGCTGTCCCGGCAGGCCACACCCTGACTGGCTCTCTCGTGTTTGCCTGCACTGGTTCTTCCCCTGGAAGACCCTTCCCTCCACCTCCCCCAGGGCTTTCCAGGGCCACTTCTGATCCTGAGGCTGACTGCAGCGCCGTTCCTGAGTTCTCGCCCAGGGTCAGGTGCTGGGCAGAAAGCTTTACCTGCAAATCTCACCTGCTCCTCCCATCGGCCTTGGGAAGTTGTGGCCTCCCTCCCCTGGGTCCTGGAGCCTGGCATTGTGCAGGCAGAGAGGGGGTGCGCACAGGGTATGGGTGGGAGGGATTCGCAGCCAGAAACAGGAGGGAGATTCTGGAATTGTCCTTTGCAGACAAGGCCCGAGAGAAACAGGGGCTTCTGGGAAGTGCCAGGAGGCCCATTTGTAGCAGCCGGCCATCCCTTACCGTATGGACTCAATCCACTGGTCCCGCTCCTCGGCGCTGGAGGCTGAGATCCTGTAAGACTGGTGCTTGCCCTCCACCACCTTGCCATCGCCATCTGTCTTGCAGGCTTTGATCTTCTGGCCCCGGCAGCTGGGATTGTAGAGCTCCAGGCAGAACTGTGGGGAGGTGACCAGGTGAGGGCAGGACAGGGCAGGGAGGGGAGGGTGGCTGGGCTGGGCTCCCCAGGAGCCTCGGAGGACCAGACACTCGGGCAAGACCAGAGCTCAGATAAGCAGCAGCACGCACCCCACCCCAGGCCCATTTCCTGGGACAGGTGAAGGGGCAGGCGAAGGGTCCAAGGCCCTGAGTTCCCCTGAAGGGGTGCTGGGCCTGGCCCGGCCTCCTGAGAGTCAGCCCAGCCGTCCTTTCCTCTCTCCCTGCTTCAGAAGTGCCCCCAGCCATTCAGACCTCAGGCTGCCACTCCGACACTTACTGGCTTCTTGGGGTCGTCCACCTTCTGCACAGAGAGGTTCTCAAGGGGTATGATTCCCCGTGGCTCCTTGTCCTGCACGGAAGCAGGAGGGAAGGTCAGGGTCAGCACCTGGAGCCTTGAGGCTGTGGGTAGGGAGTGAGCTTGTGGGGCTCCCCCAAGCTAAGAGGAGTGTCTCTATCTTTCTGGGAATAGAGGAGCAATGCAGGACAAGCCCTGGCTGGGAGACCCAACTCTAATCCCTGGCTCTGCCTCTACCCTCGGCCCAGCCCCTCCTCCTCTCTATAGCTCTGTTTTCCCATCTGTAAAATGGGTGTGACGGTAGATTGTGTGATCTCAAAGGAGCCCCAGCTCGGGAAGGCGACTGCTTAGTGAAGTCCAGAAGGGGCCCAGGGCAGGGGCAGCGGCAGGCTCACCGTGGTGAACTCAAAGTAGTAGAGGCAGCTGTCAGTCAGGATGAACCAGCGCCGTTTCCAGGTCTTCACTCGTCCTCCTGCAAGAGGCCATCAGCAGAGCTGTTCCTCCTCCTCCCTGGCCACCAACACTCCGCCACCAAAGAGCAGGACCTCGGCTGCTTCCCCCACCTCCACCCCACCTCCCACTCCTAGCCTGGCACACTTCCCACAGATCAGGCCTCTCCTTACTCAAAAATCTTAGTGGCTCCCGTCACCCCAAGCTTCCCCGAGATGCCTGACCCAGCATTCCAGGCTCCTCCCCAGTCAGCCCCAGACAGTGGCTGGTCACTCCCTGGGCTTTCCTGTCACTGCCCCACCCCAACCCCTGGTCCATTCCTTGGCCTGGTCCTGCCTGGCGCTGGGCTAAGCATTTCATCTTTCATTTGCCAGGCAACATTCTAGAGGGTTTAAAAAAATATATTCACTCAAGCCCCGGCCAGGTATCTCAGTGGGTTAGGGCGTCGTCCCTATACACCAAGGTTGTGGGTTCGATCCCCAGTCAGGGCACAGGAGTGCATGAATTAGTGCAAGAGCAAATTGATGTCTCTTTCTCTCTCGAAAAATCCACAGATAAAAAAATTTGAAAACAATTCACTTATGAATTCCCAGAAGCATCTATGAGGAGGAGATTATTATTAGCCCATTTTGTAGGAGAGGAGACCGAGGCATCTGCTCAGGGTCCTGCAGCAGAGCTGAGATTAAACCCCGGTGTCCTAGCTCCAGGGGCAAGTGCTCAGGTATTTTGCGATGCATCCAACCCCGTCACAGGTCAGGTATTCCCCCCACTTCACCGCTGTGGAAGCTGAGGCTGAGCAACCGGATGGGTGCCCAGCCCACGGGAGGAGGAGCTGAGGTGTGCAGCCAAGGCCTCCACAGGCTGAGGACAGTGGGCTGGGCAGGAAAGGAGGCTGCGTGGGCTGTAGAAGGATGGACTGGGACATGGGCATGGGGAGGGGCAGGGCTGGCATGGGCGCCTGGGCCCCAGTCCCTGCTCCAACATGAGGAGGCCACTGTGGCTGGCCAGGCTGGCCTTGCTGGGAGGCATCGGGAGTGGGGTGGGGGCAGGGGCCGATGGCTGGGCCTTGTGCTTCCCCACCAGACTTCGCAGTCACCGCCCGTCGCCCCCGCAGCACCCACCCACAGCTCTTCTCGGCAGGCCGGAGGCCTCCTCACGTTGAGGGGAGGCTCCCCTGAGCCACATCCTGTCCTTCTCCCCTCCCCCTGCCGTCCTTCAGGGACATCCAGGCTCCTGCCCACCAAAATCTGCCATTTGCTGGTTGTGTGGCCTGGGGCGGGGGCCCTAACTTCACCGACCCTCAGCTTCCCCAACAGCCCTCAGGGTGGGTCAGGAAGAGGTGGAACTGTAGTTAAGGGTTTGTCCATGGACTTGTCACCATCCATCCCCCCTCCTGCTTGTTCTTCCCCTCCCCCCACTGTCCCCTTCATTCCCAGGGCAGACAGAGGGAGAGATGGGGCAGGCAGATGGCTGCACTGGGAGGCAGGAGGCTGGGGCCCTCTCGACTCCACCCTGAGGCTCCATGTCAAGGTGTGTGTGTGTGTGTCTGTCTGTCTGTCTGTCTGCCTGCCTGGGCCCCAGTGTCCGTGCCTCTCACCCAGCTTGAGCAGCCAGCCCTCGCGGTCGGGGTTGAAGAAGGTGTGTGTGAGGTCGTTGCCGTCGTCCTCGGGGATGGAGAAGGGCTCACTCTTGATGCTGTCGAAGAGGTTCTGGCCGAGAGAGAAGGCAGGGAAAGACAGGGCAGTGACGTTCGCTCCAGTCCGGGCTGCTCCGGACCGGCTGGGTGCCGGGCCTTTGGGCGAACTCTTTGCTCTCCTGTTAGCTTGTCGTCGTCGTTGGTCCCTGGTCTTCTTGGCAAAACCCCTCCTGGCTCCCCCAGGCCCACTGGGACTCCCCACCCCATCCCCATGCCACGCCCCGCCGTGCCGAGGGAGTGCAGGCCAGCACCCCGAGAGACTGCCCACTGCCTTACCCACTGCCCCCACAGCCCTGTCAGTGCTTCAGGTTCAGTTTGCTTGCTGGCGTTGACCTTTTCAAATGGGGGCGCTCCTCCAGGGAAGGCCTGGGTGTCACAACCCCCAGGCTCCCCCCAGGACCTGGCCTGAAGCAAGCTGGCAACAGTTTGCTGACTGAATGGATGCTGCCCCCCTCACCCCCTGAATTCCAGCCAGGGCATGAAAAGGGTACGGGGGACAAGAGCACTGGCTTTGGCGTCAGGCCATCCGGGTTAAAACCCCAGCCCGGTCACTGAGTGGCTGTCCCTCAACCTCTCTGAGTTGCTGTGTCCTTACCCGATAAATGGAGAAGACAAGTGTGATTGGCCAGAGCTCTGGGGGGAGTAAGTAGACTACACACGGGTTGGAGCCCCCTTCTCCAGATCAGGAAAGGTGACGAGGAGGCAGAAGTACAGCCCCCACCTGCACCCTGACCTCCAGGTGCTGCTCTTATGGGTCAGTGCAGACCGTCACCCCTGTGTCTGAGGGGGCTGCAGGCAAGGACACTTGGCTGGGACCCGTACACCCCCACACCCGTTCACCTGCATGTGCATGCGGGGGCCCTCACACATTCAAATACAGACACCTAGGTGCACGCTCTGGGGCGCAGCAGCCAAGGTCAAGGCCTCCTGGGGCAACAACCTCTGTTTTGGGACAGTAGCAGAGACTTCCAGGTGCACCCTGGGTGGGGGGACACAGAGGACCTGCCAGGGAACTGGGACTGGTTGCCTGTGTTGAGAAGCCAGGCTGAGGGGAGACTCAAGGTGAAATGCTGACCTTGGCTCTCAGAGGCCATGACCTGCTCTGGGTGGGCTCTGATTACGGGTGGGGGGAGTTCCCAGAAAGTGGATTTCAGTTCTCCATGGAGGATGTTCTAGCAGAGCTGCTAAAATATGGAAGGAGCAACCTTGCAGTGTAATGAGTGCCTCGTCCCTGGAGGTATGCAAGCCAGGGCCCAAACCTTTCTTTGGGGGAGTTGTGGATGTTGGCGATGGATCATTCCTGTGTGTTTTGAACCCTCGGGAACTTTGTTTCATGAACAACCTACGCAGACTTCCAAGTGTTCGGAAAAACTTTCCCAGGCTGTCTGTTCCTGCTTGTTAAGACCGGGCATGGCGCTGGCTCTCCACCTCTCAGACAATTAAACCATTGTCTTCTCTTGCATTTGTGTGCGCTGCTGTTGAGACGGTTTCCTCAAAATTTTAAATGAAAAATCTCACGAGCACTGCTTGATTCCCCCCAGAGATTTAGTGGTGGTGTTTGCCTTTTAAAGCCTTTTCTGACCTGGGCGGGGGGTGTTGGGGGAAGTCTGGGAGCAGGTTTCCCTGAGTCTGGCAGAGGTGTCTCCCTGCCATGGACTCCAGAGTTCCTGGACTCAGCCTGGCTGTGGTGGGTGGGCTGGGGAAGAGCAGGGGCCATGCTCTTTTTGGAGCCCCTGCACCCCCTCGCGCAGCCAGGAAGCCCTGCTGCTCCACCCGCCCAGGCCCAGCCCGGCCCTGGGAATTCCTAGGCGGCACAGGCTGTTAAACTAGGGTCTGCGGCAGAAAGGCCTCGTCAGCAAAGCCATCAGCGCAGACAAATATTTGGGAGGCTGGGGAGGCTAGGACACAGGAGCCTCCCCGACACCCACTGGGGGGCCCTGGCAGCTGCAGTGGGTGCCTTATCAGTCTGCGCATGCTGCCCCCACAAGGAAACCAGCTCAGCTCACCCACATTTCCTGTGCCTTGTAAATACCAACCCCCTTCCCTAGTAAGAAAACTCCCTAACACCTGCCACCACCAAACCACTGGGCCAAGCTGTCTTCTGCTGCTGGGTGGACTTGATCAGACAGACAATGGCCATCTGCTGGTGGCTCTGCTGGTCCTGCATCTGTCCCTTTCCACCCCCTTAGTTTTCCTCTGGGGACTCACCCCCCACCCCAAACACACTTTCTGTCCAGATTGTTCAGGGGGGTTGACACCCACTGCCCCCACCTTAGGCTCTGGGCTGCAGGGTGAGAATGACACCCTTTGGGCTACTCAGAGCACTTCATCCTGCTGGTCACAGTGACAGGTTCTGGGAGGGAGGTGATTTAAGCCAGCCAACCAGCCTGAATTCTGGGACTTTAGTTTAAACAGCTAAGCTAAATGTCTGGTGTTGCCCTGGTCCTCTCTGCCCGCACTAGGGGAAAGCCTGTTGCAGAGGAAAGCTGGAGGAGACAGCTGCTGACAGCTAGAGAGATTAGACTGAGTCTGACCTCAATGAGCACCTGGATCAAGCCAAGCCTGAAGCCGAAGACTTAACTGAAGACAGATTAATCCCATATCTTTTCTGTTATATGAGTTGAGATTCCTCTAGCCAGCAAGCAGCTGTCAGCAGGAGCACACAGCTAAGTCCTCTGTCCCTAAATCATGACTTTGGTCTCTGCAGAGGGAAGGGCTCTGGAATCAGACAGATGTGGGTTTGAATATAAACTGCTCACAAACTATGAAACCCCTCCTTGGCCAACTACGCTTCTTGGAGCCCAGGATCCTTCACTGTAAATGGGGGGAGGTACCTCCTGCCTAAGGTTGTCGGGGGGAACTTCATGAGGACATGTGGTACCTAGAACTGGGCTCAGACGCACTCAGTGAGCCAACTTGGACTCCACAGCAAAAGATGTCCTGAACTGGGGGACTGTCTCCTGCCCAGGCCTCACTTTCTCCACTTGTAAACCTCCTTCTTCTCCTCCTCCACCCTCCTTCCCTTCCTGTCTCATTTCTGCACCTGCCAAGTAGCAGGCACTCATATCTTGTGCATTAGATCTGCTTCTGGGAGAACAATGCAAGCTTTGTGCCATCAGCCCACTCTGTAGACAAAGAAACTGAGGGTCAGACTCAAGGTCACACAGCCATAAGGTGGGGGTGGGATTTGCCCTCCCATCCTCCGAGTCCAGACCCCATTCCCTTGTCCGGAGCCCCTTGGGCACTCTGCTGCCCCATCATGAGGGCCGGAGCAATGCCTGCTGCACCCGCCTGCCCCTCACTCCACGTGCATTTCCCTGAAGCCTTTCCCAGCTGCGCACCCTCCTCGTCTGCAAGCCTTGGGGTGACTTCTCTTTAGGTGATGTACCTGCATTGGTTTAATTTCATAAACCAGGCCATTTAAAAGAGCTATGCATCTTGGCAGGGCCCAGGCTGAAATAGCTATATGAGGACCCCTTCTGTAAAGGGGCAAACTTCGAATATCTGAAGGTGCTTAAAGCTGAGTCCCTGCTTTATTACATCTGGGGAAGATGAAGCCCAGAGAGAGGGGAGAAGACCCCACCCCAATCCACGGCAGCTCCCATGTAAGCCCTGAAGAGCCAGGACCAGGCCTGTGCGGTTCTCTCTGATGCTTCTGCGTTAATTAGTCCCCCCAATTATACCAGGCACATTGCTAAATCCTTCACCTTTCTCTACTAATCCCATGAGCTGGTAGCTCAGAGAGGTCAAGCCGTGTGCCTAATGTCACACAACCAGAAAGTGGGGGAGCCAGGACTTGAATGTGGTCGTGACTCCAGCGCTCTGTTCTTTTCCCTGCTGGGCCTTGCCTCTCTTGGCTGCCAGGGAGGATAATGAACCCTTCCCCAGACCTCCCAGGCAGAGTTTGAAGCTAAATTGAGCTAATAGACCAGAAAGCCCTAGGAGTTGAAAGTTACAAGCTCTATACAAATGCAGTGCATTGTTATCAACAAAAGGCTGAAGTTGGGAAAAATATCCGAGGAGGGAGCTGCTGATAAAGGCTCACTGGGGGCTGCAGCTAGAACGTGGCACCTGGGAGAGCTGGCAGGGCTGAGCTAGCCCGCCATTAACGCATTAACTGCCAGACAAGGTGCGCTTAGCTTCACGGCAATGAGATGAGTCAACAATTCTGAAAGGCCTTTTTTTGTTTCAGGCATTTCACGGAGTGCCAGGGAGTTAAAATTATTATTAATTATTCTGAGTGGTGGCATAAGCCACCATTTAGGGCCTATGCTATATCCCTGGCATGGGCTGTGCCCTTCACATTAAAAAAAAATTACTGCTCCTAGCAGCTCTGTGACGCAGGCATCATTATCCCCATTCTCCTGCCTTGTGGGGGTGGTGGCTTGCAGAGGGTGACTCATTACCCAAGGTCACTCAGCAGGCCAACAGGGGAGGTGAGATTTGAACGGAGCTCCCCACCATGATACATTTCTCTGCTGGGACAAGGAGGGGTGGTGGGCTGAGGGCCCTTCTCACACAGGAGGGGCACCAGCGTCGTTCCAGACCCAGCCCACCCCTACCCCGACTTCTGCAGGAGGTGCCTGCAGTGTGGACCTGGGCGGGCGGGGCTCATACTCTCCCGCACCCCTGCTGGGCTCTGATCTACAGACTGGCACCTCTCATCCTACAAAGGAGCTGTCCATTTTTATGGAGCCAGGCTCCTGAGTCTCACTCCAGGGTTTCTAAGCTGCTCCTGGCTCCCTGTGGCCCACAGGAAACTGTCATTGGAGACCCTGGGCATGCCAACCCCACCTCACCACCGGTCACTGTCCATATGCACCCATACCCCGGTCAGTCACTCTGGACTCCCTACCCTTTTCCAACCAGGCCGGCCTGGGTTCTGGCCACTTCCTCTTTCTGAAGTGTCCTTTCCCTACTTCTCCTCCGGGGAGTCTCCTTTTAACCTTCAAGGCCCAGTTCAAAAGTCCCCTCCTCCAGGGAGTCTTCTAGGATGACACCTTTCCCCTGCCCCCAGAAGAGAGATGTAGTGTCCCCTGTGTCTCCACAGCTATGTCCCTGTGGTTAGCAGAGCATGAGTCGCCCAGGGCTGTAACTCACAAGTGTTCTCCTACCAGACCCCAGACTCCCACCAGGGCCTGTGGTTGGTTCCTCCCTGGTGCCCCGTCCACACAACCCGCCTGGTGCGCTGTGGCAGGGGTGGGGGCTGTTGGTGGAGGGACGGAGGCCTGGGTTCTGCTCGGCTCCCGAGCTGGCGTGCAACCTGGCGGGAGACCTGTCTCCTTTCTGAAGGGGGGAGGAGTGCGGTGCAGAGCGTGAGGGTTTGCAGCACGGACACACTCAGAATCCAAGAACCCGGATTCCAAGAACTATACTTGGGCCGTGTGGGTTGCTCTTACTGGAAATGTGAACGGTGGGTGCAGCACCTGCTGAATGGTCTCTCTCTGGACACCCTTCTTGAGGTGGGGGCCGCCTGGGAAGGGCCATCTCAGGACCAGCCTCTTTTGTGGTGGTCCATTTGGAGCAGACCCCCCGGACTGTCCATGTGAGATGGGCCCCGCCCAAATGTCCAGGCACTGGCCTGGGTGGGGAGGCACCCCCCTTACCCGCAGCTGCTCCTCGGGCAGGTCGCTGCCGTCATTGATGCCGCGGTTCATGGACACGAAGCGCTCGAAGGGCGGCCTGTCCCGGACGTTGGGGTTGTGGAGGCTGGTGTTGAGCATGATGATGGAGAAGGACAGGACGTAGCAGGTGTCTGCAGGATGGGACAGTGAGTCAGCCTTGGCCCTGGTTGCCGTCCCCTCCTTTGCCCCAACCCCTTCTAAGGATCAAGGATCAGCCATGTGGAGGCCTGAAGGTCCACCCTGTCCTCCTGGCTCGGCCTTTGAGGCCTGGCCTCACCTTCCACTCCCTTACTGGGCTCCCCGCTCCAAGGAAACTCTGGTGTCAAGTTGGCCAGGCCCCCCTGTGCCTTCCCACCCTTGCACTTTTGCTCCCACTGGGTCCCCTGCCAGGCACACCCTCCCCTTCCCTTTCCTGTCCACTCAAACCTCCTTCTCCTTCAGCTCCAGCCCTCCTCCCTGCTGAGCCCTTCCAGCCCCCAGCCCACTCTGTTCTCTGCCCGCTCGGGCCTTAGATGGCACCACTGTCCCGAACTTAGTCACGTGCTGCTGCTTGGTAACCTGGCGGGCATGGAGGGGCTTCCAGGGCCAGAGCTCCTATTCTCTGCGAGGCAGTGAGGCTGCGCAGCTGGGTGGAGTACTTGGTAGGGGGGCAACTGCTGCTCTGTGGTGAGTGTCTGGAGCAGGGCGGTCCATCGGGCCCCCAACCCTCTCTGGTTGACCTTGGGAAAATCCTTGACCTCTCTGAGCCTTAGCTTCCTCACTATGACCGTCAGAGGTTTGACTTTGAAGTCATTTCCATGTTCTAGAACATGAGTGACTCTACTTCTGATACCAATGGCACCTGGTGTTGGCGGTGCGTGCCCTGTGCTAAGCCTTCTGATGACCCATGATGACCCCATGATGACCCTATGGGGCAGGTCTTGTCACCCCATTTTACAGATGAGGAAACCGAGGCATGAGGTGGTGACGTGCCATGCCCAAGGTTACAGAATTAAAAAGCAGTTGGACTGTGATTCAAGTTTGGTGCTTTAAAATTCCTTCCTTCCTACAAATATTTATTGAGTACCTACTAAGTGCAGTGGGCTGGGGATTCCCCAGTGAGTAACTCTGATATGGCCCCACTCTTGGGGGGCATTCAGACTTGAAGCGCTGACAGATAATAAAACCAGCCAATGGTAAAATCGTGTGTAACTCTGAGCCAGGACGGATGCCCTGGGGGGGCCTGTATGTGGACACGCAGCCCCGATGTGGCATGTGGGCAGGCGAGCTAGCACCTCTCCTCGTCTGTGCTCTGCGCTGGGGAGAGAACACCGCAGACCTCACAGACCCACTGTGCGTCCTGCATGGCTTCATTTGGGTGCAACACTTAGCACACGGGGAGGACTCAGCACATCACACTGGTTATTGTTGTTATGGTAACCTCAGATTCTGAGGAGAGGCCAGGGCGAGTCTGCTGTGACGCCTTCTCATCCACCCTGCGTGGGGCAGTGTGGAGGGCTGACTCTCGTTGACATCCTTCTATGCCCCTTTTCCCCCTAAGCCCTGCCCAGGCTGTTTCATGCTTCTAGGCCTTTGCTTGAACTAGAACTCCTGTCCGAAAGGCCTTTTCTCCCCTTGACCTCCTGGAGAACTCTTACTCATCCTTCAAAACCCCATTCAGACCCACTGCCTCTGGGAAGCCATCCTGGACATGCTGACTCCCCCATCGCTGCCCTCAGACAGGTGTGCGGCTGCCCCACACCCTGTGCTGTTATTTCCTGCCTCTGCTCCCAAGGAGTATGTCCCAAGGCAGCTCTGTCCCACAAATACCCCACAGAGGGCCTGGCCCTGAGCTGAAACTCAGTGAGAGCTTGGAATGACCTGCGGTCCCAGGGTCCGGGCACTGGGGGAAACCCGAGGGGGCGAGGCAGGCGTGGTGCTTCGGGAGGCAGCCTGTGCCTGGTGATGCTGAAGGGGCTCCGGAGCCCCAGGCCCCACCCGTACTGGCACCTGTGGACTGGAAGACGCCTGGGTTGCAGAGGCAGTATCGAGTGGCAAAGGTCTCCATCATCCGGTCAATCTTCTGGGCCTCTCCCGGCAGCCGGAAGCTCCACAGGAACTGCCTGGGAGAGAAACATGGCCTTGGGCAGCAGGGTGGGTGGGGAACCTGGACAAGCCACTCTACCTCTCCCAGGCTTCGTCTCTTTGTCCTGTAAGTGGGCGAATCTGAATCTATATCTAAGCTCTGCAGGGATTTGGACTGGCGAGCCCCAGGCACACAGGAAGTTTCCCACAAATGCCTTTTTTTTCTGCTTCAGAATGGAGAGCTGAGTTCATGCTCCCCAGCTGAGTCTTAGGACCTTCTGTGGCCCAGCCAGTGAGGGAGCCTCTGACTGCTCTGGGCTCTGCAGCGCCCCCGCCTGGACTTCCCCTGGGGGTGGGAGGGCTCCCGTTCTTGGAACCTATGCTTCCAGCTCTGGAAGTTGATGAGCTCCACAGCTTTAGATTCCATACCTTGAGGGCGAAGGTGTGTGCCCCTTCCTGTCACATCTCTCACCGGGCCTCGCACAGGCCCTGGTGCCCAGGAACTGCTCCATAAAGGCTTGTTAAATGAGTGAGTGAATATTGGAAACTATCCCTCTCCCTCAACAAGCCCGGCAGTTGGAGGGAAGTTCATGTTGCCTGGATAGTGGCGGTTTCTTTCTACTCTGCTTCGAAACTCCTATTCATCCTACAAAACCCAGCTCAAATGCCCCCTTTGAGGAGCCAGTTCTTCAAGACTTCCTAAACACTTACTGTGGACCCAGTGCTAAGTACTTTCTCATTTAGTCCTCACCACTGTGTAAGGTTGATACCATTATTATCCCCATTTTACAGACAAAGAAACTGAGGTACAAAGAGGTTCTTGCAACTCGTCCAAGGCCACGCAGGGCATGAATGGCAGAGCTAGGATATGAACTGGGCAATCATGCTCCTGACCATTGTACTATAATGCCCCTGTAGTTGTAAAACTAGCAGCAGGAATGATAATAACCTAATTAGAAAATAATAAGCAATAATAAAGCAACACATGCTAAACTGTATTAATGAAATAAAACAAGTGCTATCCTGAAAAGTAGCGGGCATGGCGGGTAATAGTGGTAATAATGATTCCAATGATTAAATATTGTTATAGCAACGTTGTAATGGAATAATGCTGGTGGTAGGAGCGGTAACAAGCCTGGTGCTGGTTCAGGCCATCCGCTGCTGGTTATCCCACCGTCCTCAGCTGCATGAGGTCAGCACTATCATTCATTCATTCCCGCTCCTCACACTCTGTGCTATTTGCCAGGCAGCCTGTGACGGCCCCAACGCCCCCGCCCGGGCTGTGCCCCACTCCAGGGCCGGGCCTGGGACCACTCACCTGAGGGCCTGGACGAGGTTGAGGTTGGCGAACTCGTGGCAGTCCACAAAGGCCTGCAGGACCTGCAGGTTGATGGGGTCTCTGGGGGGGCAGAAGGGAGGGTGGGATGCACTGGGGAACTCTCTGGTCCCTGCCTCCTGGAGGGGGTTGAGGTGGGCAAGGGACAAGAGGGGAGAAGGGCCCTCCTTCTGGGTCCGGCCACTCTCTGGTCTGCTTGCATCTGTCTGACCCCACATCAGCACCCCTGACATGCACACCATGCCTCCCAGACGTGAACAGAGCCCACAGCCCCCGGCTCACCAGCGCTGCTCTCACCTGGCACGGGGGTGCCACCTTCCCTGAGTCAAAGCCTTCCTCTGTCACTGCCTGCCTGGGTGACACCTCTTAAGCCACTTGACCTCCCCCAGTATTTCAAGCATGCTAGAAAATTATACACTCTTTGGAATACAAATAAAGTAGGGAAGGGAGGTGAGAGGGCCTGGGGACCACGGACCAGGGCTGTGATGTCAGTGTGGACAGGAACGGTCTTGTGGAGAGAGCAGAGTAGGCTTCTAGGGGAAGAGCATTCCAGGCAGAGGGAACAGCATGTGCAAAGGCCGCAGGACAGAGGCGTGCTCAAGGAGCAGCAGGCTGGTGAGCCTGGGAGAGAGCGAGGGAAGGGGGCAGGACGTAGTCGGCCGCAAGGCAGGGACCCGCGGAGGGTTCTGGGCAGAGGCGTGGTGCTCTGTGAAATGGGGACAACCCTGCCAAGCCATGGTCCTCCCTCTTCCTGGCTCTTGGATCAGGAATTTCTGCCCTTCTAGCCACCTGTGTTCCCCGCTTGCTCAGGAGAAGAAACGTGTCCCCTGAGGAGCCTGGGAGAAGGGTGGCCGGCTCGCTGGCTCAGCTCCACCCTGGTCCCTTATAGTCCGAGCCCCCCAGCCCTGCAGGTAGAGGGGTCTCAGGCCATGTTTTATTTGTATTCCAAAGAGTTTGTCATTTTCTAGCATGCTTGAAATGTTTGGGAATCTGCCTTCCCCACTGGTATGCACACCCCTGAGGGCAGGGGTTTTGTCTGTCTGGATCATTGGTGTAAATTCAGGGCTTAGAACAGTGCCTGGCGCGCAGCAGATGCTAACAAATGTCTACTTGGTGGACGCGTGAAAGCAGGGAGGAAGGAAGGCGGGCTTCAGGTCGGAATCTGGAAGGAGGTGGCGGTTCACCTCCTCAATCTCCGGGTGCTGACTTTCCCAACATGATTCACTTCCTCACTCACCTGTCCACACCTGCCCTCACTAACCTGTGCACACCTGCTGCCCTCACTCCCTGCCTCCCTCAGGCCCCACCCTCTTACCTCTCCCCCAAGTAGGTGCCGATGGCCGTCTTGTTGAGGCCCTCGCCCTTGTACAGGAACTGGGCGATGTCCTGGGCAGCGGAGGTCAGCAGCTTGTGCTCGATGAGATACTGGATGCCCTGCAAGTGGTACCCAGAGACATGAACAGCCAGCCTGGGGGGGGGGCGGGGAAGGCGGGAGGGAGCCCCCAAGGCCAGAGCCCTGTGACTGTTCTGGGGAGCCGTGTCCCTCCTGAACAGAAGATGTCTTTGTAAGGTGGTGAGTTCCCCATCACGGGGGAGGTGTGTGAAGAGAGATTCAGTTTCTGCAATGAGCCAGGTTCACGCCAGGTGCTCCCAGGGTTCCCTTCAGTCTGACGCTCTTTGATTATTTGCATCAATGATTCCATTGATTTGTAGTTTTAAGATTCAGTGATTCAGCCACTTCTTTTGTCCCTTAAAGTTCACATTACTTAAAAATAGTGTTTCATTTTTTTTCTTGCAGGTAGTCTATGTTCATTGTATAAACATTAGAAAAAACAGCAAAATCAAAAAAAGAACTTGCCCAAGGCCTGGCACTCGGAGGGGGACAGTTCCCATGGCCGTGGCTTTCAGTTAGTTCCATTCTGTACGAAAGTGGAAGCGTGCCAAGCTGTCCACCTTGAGACCTACTCTTCTGATCTGACAACATCATGGACATCTCTCCCTATGACCCAGGCGCTTGGGAGGGCGCCAGTGTTGTTTTAGGAATTTGAGGGCTTGGCCTCTGGTTTTCTGTGGTGGCTCCTTCATTTCATGTCGCTGCTCTTTTCGGAGAAAGAGAAACTTCTGGAAGATGGGGGGCCAGTTTGAGGGATGCCCTGGATGACAGGTGCAGGACCCTGAAGATCCCTTGGCGGCACCTCGCCAGGGGCTCAGGTGGGGAGAGTGAGTCAGTGGGTGTGTGTGCGCCCCGTGGGTGGCACAGGGGGCTGATTTCTGTGGCTATGGGGGGCAGGTGGATGTGTGATGCCGTGGGCCTGAGACAGGGAAGGGGGGCAGCCTTTGCAGCCCGAGCAGTACATTTGCAGGGCCCCCTGACTGCCCCGACCCCCCCTCTGTGTGTCAGCTCGTGGCTTCCTCCTGCCTGTGGTCCTGCAGGAAAGGAGCCTGCAGCCCCCTCACGGGGCGAGGGGAGGGACTGGGGGGCACGTCGGGGCAGGGAGAGCAGCAGCTGAGCCCTGAGTGCTCTGGGTCTGCACCCCAGCTCTGGCTCCCTCGACCCAAGTGGCTGGGAGACACTTCTGGAGACCAAGCCCCAGAATGTAAAGTCACCCTGTCCTGTGCCTCACCCATGAAGGAGGAAACAGAGGCCTAGTGCCAAGGGACTCCAAGTCCATGGGCATCATAGACTCCACTCCGCCAACCCCGCTTCCTGGCTCCCACTCATGCCAGGGGCTGCTGTGCCGTGGGTGGCAGAGCCCCTGACCACGACTGGGCAGGACGCTGAGCCCTGTTGCGTCTTGGTCCCCTCATCTGTGGGGCAGGCTGCTCGGTCAGTTGAGGGAAAGGAGAACATTATGAAGGTGCCCAGCATGCAGCAGCCCTGACCCCACGGCCCGAGCCCCCCACACCCGCCTACCTTCATGGGGTCCATGTTGAACTTCTTGCGCCCAATGCATAGCTCCTTCTCCTTTTGGGCTATCCGGCTGTGGACATGTGGGTGTCAATGTGGGCTGTCCCAGCACCCAAGGGCACCCCCCCGACTCTCAAGGACTCTCGGTCACCTTGAGGACTCCCCTGAGCTAGAGCCAATACTCCCTAGGGCCCTCCCGGAGCTCCCACACGGGGTTCTTCCAGCCGGCCCAGCACCGTGGCCCGGAGAGCGCGGAGCTGCGTGGGAGGGGCAGCAGGGGCCCCACGAGGGGGTGCGGACCGGGCTCGGAGAAGCTGGGCTGAGGGCTCAGGCTCGGGAGGCGGCCAGCCTCCCGGCTCTTGCATCCCGTCCCATCCCGTCCCATCCCGTCCCATCCTGTCCCACCCGTTGCTGGCGCAGCCACGCAGGGAGAGTCGCCCAACTCAGTTCTCTCATCTGTAAGAGGGGTGATGTGGCCACCTGCCTCCCAGTGCTGTGGGGAGGTTAAAGCGCTGGCAGTAGGTGGCGGTGGGTGCTCCGGAGGTGCTGTGTTGTTACTGCTGTGGCCCAACTGGCGAGTCTGGAGACAGGCCCGTGAGCACCCGTGGGTGTCTGTCTGCAGCTGTGTGGCTTGGGACAGCAGAGGGCTAAGGGGGCAGGGGCAGGGTGGGCATTTCCTGGGATCCTGGAGAGCAGAGTCGGTGCCCTGGGGCCCTAGGGGATTATGCAGGGACCAACATTCTCATCTCACAAGTGGGGAAACTGAGGCCCAGAGGGGGAGGAGACTAGCCCAAGTCACAGAGCCCGTGGAGCCTCCCCACAGAAGGGGCGAGTGAAGGAAACCAGCCCCCAACCTGTCCCCCCGCCAGGCTCTTGCCCCACTGAGGCCCCTGGCTTCCCTGTCCTCAACCTTGGGGCTGAGTTTTCCTTCTCCCAAGCCCCTCCCGGGATGCTCCTGAGTGATGATTGGTCAAGGGCCGGGCCAGGGCAGGTTGGAAGAGCCTTTGGATGCAGAGGCTGGGAGGGTGGGGCTGTCTCTCTCCATGGGGGCCGTTTGGGAGCAAGGCCCAGACCAGCGTGAGGGAGGCTCGGCCGCCCTGTTTCTGTCCCGGTGCCGCTGCCTCCTCCTCCTCCTCCAGGGGCTGGTCCCTGACTTCCCCGGGGCCCCAGCCCAGGCGTGGATCCTGCGCATTCAGGACATGTGACACCCCTCAGAAGCCACCAGGGCAGCTTCCCGGGGTCCCCTAGCCAGGGCCCTCACCTCTCCTCCGCCATCTCGAAGCAGTCGATTTGGGCAAACACATCTGAGATCTCGTCCTTCAGCTTCTGTGGGGTGGCAGTGGGGGGGCATGAATGGGGAGGGGGAGTCAGGGAGTCGAAGCGGGGGCAGACCGGGTTTACAGCCCTCCCCCATACCCACTCCCGCCCCTGGGTGTGACCCTAAATTCTCTTTCCTGAGAAATGTTCACTCCAGATGTCTCATATCCTCAAAGTCCCAGACCGAACTGTTGCCTTCGTCTGTACCCTTGCTCCCGCCATCTCCTCACCTGGGAAGGCAGCCCCTAGGTGCCTGCCACCTTTGCCCCACTCTGTTTTCGGCCTTCCCTTCTCTCCCCTCTGCAGGTGTGAAGTTTCCTGCCCTCTAGCCACGCCCACCCCACCAGCCCATCTCTACCCAGCTGCCCTCTTGCTGAAGTGCGCTCGGTGCCCGCCCCGCCCTTGCTCAGACTCCTTCCACAGCTCCCCCTGCCCCCGGCCCCCAGGAAGGAGGCACAGAGGCCCACCCTGTGAGGCGCCCAAGCTCCTCTGCAGCTTCCCTCCGTCTATCTGTTTACTCGGACACTTGTCCCGGGCTGGGGGCCCGCTGTGTACCAGGTACTATGGGCACACCAGGTAGGAGGAAATGCAGGGACTTTGCAGTCCCTGTGGGATTTGCAGAAGAGGACACTGAGGCATAGAGAGGCAAAGGGATGTGACTAAGGTCTGGCTTCAAGCCTCTGACTAGAGTCAAACCTCAGTCTGTTTCCTCGTGACCCTGCACAGGTGGCCAGTGGCAGAGGACATGCCCTAACTCTGCCAACTGCCATCACTGAGCAGACGGGGCAAAGTGGCATCGTGACCACCATCCCCCTGCAGGGCAGCAGCTCGAGCCCCCAGGAGGCACCCCGTCCTCCCCTTCCTCCCCCGAGATCTGTGGATGGGGGTGGTCCCAGGGGTTTTTCCTGGGACCCAGGGACAGCACGGGGCCTGGAACCTATATCTGTGCCCAGTCAGCTCCTGTCCACGTGATCTCAGCTGGATCACTGAGTGGCTTCCCCACAAATAAAATAGGGACTCACTTGCAAGTATTAACTGAGCACTTACTACACTCTGACTATTAGGCTACAAATACAGTGGTGGGCAAGACAGACCCAGGTATGCAGTCTAGTGGGGCTGGGATCATGGCGGTCATGGGGAAGTGAAAGGACTGTGCAGAGAATGATCACGGTGATGGTGCGGGGAAAGCCTGGCATGTGGGAGGAGCTCCGTGAGGTCCCTGCTGAGTGAATGCTTCTGTACCTCCACTCTTCCCTGCCCTGGAGGTGAGCCTGTGTCAGGGTGAGGCGGGTCCCGGCCACTGTAGCCAGGGCGGTCAGGGCAGCCTCTAAGAGGAGGCAGCATGTGAGCCGAGAGTGAAATAATGAGGAGGAGCCACAATGAGCGCTCGGGAGAGTCGTGGGCAGAGGGAACCATGAGTGCAGAGGCCCAGGGGCAGGACTGAGCGCAGCCTGTTCCTGGAACCGAGCCAGGGCCTCCCTATCTCAGAAGGCTCTTGAGAGTCAAATGTGCTAACATCTGAAAAACTGGTGAATTGGCAGGGGCTGGGCCCATATGGGTGCTGTGTTGCCCTAATGACCCCCATTTTGCAGGGGGATGAAACTGAGACTCAGCATGGGGATGAGGGTGGGGTGAAGCCGCTCAGGTGGGAGTGGAACCCACTGGGGCCCACTGGTGTAGAACCCCAGGCAGGCCCCACACACAGGAGGGGCTTGATCCGTTGCTGCCCGTCCCTGCCTGCTCCTCCCGCTCTCTCCCGGCAGCTAAGTCCGTCAGTGAGGGGAGTCCCCTGGGGATTTTGTGCTCCCCTCTCCTACGGGTTGGGACTGAGGCTGGATGTAGCTGGAATCGTCCCTCCTCTCTGCCCAGGCTGGGTCAGGCGTGAGTGGGAGGGGTGCGAGCATGTACGAGTGTTTGTGGGAGTGTGTGGTTTGGGGTGTACCAGTGGGAATGTGTGCGGGGATGTGCATTTGTCAGTGTGACTGTGTGAGTGTGCACTCGCCTGGATGTCCTCCAGAAGCTGCTGCCGGTGCCATTTGATCCGTTGCAGCTCCTCGGCTTCCCCACTGCTCAGCTCCACTGGGTCTGCAGAAAGAAGGACCTGTGGCCACTGGATCCCTCACCGGCCTCCCCTCCATAGCTCAGCTCTGGCCACACCAGCGGGCTCTCAGGCCCCTCTTCCCTCCAGAAACCTGTGACTTGCCAGCCCTTTCACTCAAGCCTGGGCTCAGGTGTCACCACTTACAAGAGGCCTTCCCTGACTACTCAGAGTCAGCCTTTCCCCCACCCTCCCCTCCTACCCAGCTTTCTGTCTCTCCTGCCCCTGTCCAGATGCCCTGAAATAATCTTGTGTACTTGTATCTTTTCTAGTGCACTCATTATCCTCTCAGCTCCATGGAAGCAGACACTCCAACTGTTTTGTTCACTGCAGCATCCTCAGCAGCGAGAAAGAGCCCGACACACAGCAGGTACTCAATGAAATACCTGCTGAAGGCATTCATTCTTCCCTGGAACTTTAGTTTATTCCTTCTTTGGATTGATGTTTATCATTTATTCACTTATTAATTTGCATAACCAGGAAATGGTGTATCATTTTTGTCTCACACGCCATTGGCCAAATGTAGTCACCTTGCAACACCTAGCTGCAAGGGAGGCTGGGAAATGAGCCTGTAGTAGGGTGGTAATGATATCCTTATTATGTGAGATGGGGAAACTGGATTTTGGGGAAATCCAAAGTTTCTGCCCCAGACACCGAGGCTCAGAGAGGCGAGGTGACCAGGCTAAGGTCCCATAGGAATGAGTTGCTGAACCAGGCTGACCTTGGATCGGCCTGACTACAAAACTCTTTCCACTTCACCTGAAAATAAGTGAAAGGAGGTAAGTGTGTGTTGGTCAGAATTCTGTACAGGGTGCCATGATGACACCCACACCCAGGTCAGCTGGCTTACTTTCATCCCCCATTGTACTTTCTGTTTCATCCACAACGTTGTCCTGGTTGAAATCTCCACGAACTCGCCATTATTTCCAGGAAAAAGTCCTCCTGCTGGTCCCACACAGCCTCCCTGGCCTCTCCAGCCAGCCCTTCCCCACCGTTCTCAACGAGCGCCTGCCAGTCCAGGCTGCCGGCTCCCCACTGCCTCCGAATTGCCTGACTCTCAGTCTCACTCCTGAGCCCCTGGCTGCAGCTCTCCACCTGCAGCTGCTCCACCTGCAGCTGCTCCACCTGCATGCCATCTCTGGTCTGTCTGCCCGAGTCCTCCCTGACTTCCCAGTCCTGTCTTTGGGAAGTGCCTGGTTGTGTTTCTCACAGCTTTTACAAGGATGGACACCACCTCTCCTGAGCAAATGCAGAGAGACCATCAAGTCCTCCAGGTGCCTACTTCTTCCACCTGCTGACTGAGCAGCTGGACTTTGAGATGGAAGCTGGGTATTGAGACGGCAGGGCAGCAAGCTGGAAGGAGACTGGGCCCTGCGCAATGGTGTGGAGAAAAGTCATCATATGTGCCTCGATCAGCAGCTACCCACTTGGACCTCTCAAGGAGCGAGGAGTGAGTCTCATTCACTGTTCTTCTAAGTCTCTTTGCGACAGCAGGCAAACCTGAAACCTAACCAGCAGAGCGTCCTTCTCCGAGAAGCATGAGCCCATGCTTACCTAGAGCATGGTGGTCAGGACTAAGGGGGTTGAATTTTGTGAAACACCCAGCAAGTGTCGGACTGCGGTAACGGTCCAACACGTGTACAATGGCTGCCGTGTACCAAGGTGCCCACTCCCTCAGGTGCGGTGGTGGGGGTAGCCTGCTGATCGCAGACAGCTGAGTCTTTCCCCGAGCAACTACCCCAGCCACACGGAGCTGCCCCGCCTAAAGACAGGCCCCCTCCCACGGGCAGCTACAGCACAAAAGGTCAAGATCCCCGGCCTCATCTCGGGACGAGAACCAGCCTTCAGACCCCAAGTCTATCGACTGCAGAGGAGGCTGTGTCCCCTGAGGGAAGGGTCCTGCTCCACAGCGGCAAGTGTGTTTGGTAACGATCCCCTGGGCCAAGCAGCCAAGATGGGTCTGTCTGACCCATCAAGTCACAAAGTCAAGTGAGCCCAGCAGCAACCCTTTGGAAGTGGTTCACCTAGGAACAAGCGTGAGCAGAACCAGAAGACCCCGGTGAGCCCCACAGACAGGTGGCCCAGACCCCCGTCACCCACGGTGAGTGCGCCGAGGCCTGCCCCTTGGCTCACACCGGGTCTGCGTGGGAGGGTCCCTTGTGACCTTCTGACAAAGGAGGAAAATGCCTGGGTTTGGCTCTGGGGTGGGTGGCTCGGTGTTGGGTGCGAGTAAAAACCGGACAGCTGCTGATCTATAGTCCTGCTCGCAGGTGTTCCAGAAGGGGGGTGGTGAGAAGCCCTCCCAAAGGGCAGAGCCGTGGGCAGGGCGCCTGGCCACCGTTTCATGTGGAAGAGAAGTGTCGGGAAGCGGGAGTACACAGGCATTCGTGGGCAGTAGTGGGCGGCTCGGTCAGAGGCTGAAGAGAGGAAAGATTAGAAGACTAGGAACAGAGAGGCCTGGGGGAGAGGCCAGGGGACGGCCCTGTGGGAGTGGACACGGAGCGGGAGGATTTCTGTAAAGCGCACTTGTGTTCCCCAGCAAGCATCCGCCTCAGGGGAGGCACTAAGCTGCTGAGCAGACAGAGTGACTCAGCCAGGGGACACCGGCCAGTCTCTGACTGGCCAGCCCTGGGCGGGACAATGGCTCATGAATCAAGTAGTCGTGTGTGTGTGTGGCCTGGGTGGAGGCCACGTCTAGACCTACTCACACAGGCTCCCTGAGCTACTGCCACCGCTGGCTCCTGACTTTCCAGGGACAGAGACCCACTGCTTCTTGAGAAAGCCAACCAGCAACTGGGTAGCAAATGGATGATACTGGCTCCCTTCTACTCTGCAGAGGCCAGCAATTTGTCTCAACTGGCATCCACCCGTGTCCTGGACTTGCGGTGGCCTTTCCTGCCTGCAGAGCCTCGGCCAGCCTCAGTATCCACGGGCTTCCAGAGGGTGTGATCCACTGACACAGAACACTGAATGACATCACCTTAGACCGAGGGACCCTCTTCATGGTAAAGGAGGTGCGGGAGAGCGTGTGGCCACGGGTCCCGCCAGCCCTCTGAACATTTCACCCCCAGAAGATGCTGGCCTGGCAGGCACTCACCTGCTGGAGCAGTGAAGCAGCCTCCCGAAGGTGCCACTGCAGTGTTCACTTGGAGACAACAGCTGCTCGGAGGGGCACCGTCCTCTGCACCCTAAGTCAATGACTATTAGATGGTGCTCTGTCCCTGGCAGGTGATCTACATGGGTCCAGGGACACGGAGGGGGAGGGACTCCACTGCCGTCCCCCTAGGGACTCATGTGGCAGTTTTCCTTTCTGTTCCACAACTCGGAGTCTGTGGGTCAAGGGTTCCCTGTTTCCAGGGGGTGGGGGAGGTGGCTGTCACACCAGCAGACAAAGTGGGAGTTCCATCAAGTTGCAAGCTCACAAACACCTACTCCATGCCAGCAGCTTCATGTAAATTGGGTCACTGAATCCTCACCACTCTGTAAAGTGGGTCTTTTTTCAGTGAAGACACTGAGGCTCAGAGAGGCGAAGTGACTTGCCCTAAGTCACACAGCCAAGAAGAGGCAATGCTGAGGTCAGAACCCTGGTGTGCCAGAACCCAAGAAAGACCACATCCCAGGATTCTGCAGCCATGGGGACACGTGGGGATGGGCGGTGTGAGGGGCCACCCACATGAGGACAGGAGCAGGGACCTGGCAGGGGAGGCAGCGCCACAGGCAGGAAGCCCTCCGTCGGGAGCTGTCGTGGAAAAAGCCAGTCACCTCTGGTTGACTTGGGGGTGAAAGATCAGACTTTTTTGCTCAGTTCATTTACTTCCCACTGTCTTCCTGTTGGCTGAGGCTTGTGTCCTGAGGGGGCTTCCTGGCCGGGGCTCGCCTCCTGGTGGGGGCCCTGTGGACTCCAGAGGGGCTGCTTGTTGGAGAGAAGCCAGGCTGGTTTCAGCGTTTCTGCTGATGACCCCCAGTGTGGGTGGCCGAGGGCTGAGCCCTGGACTCCTGTGGCCCGGCCCTGGGCTCTTCTCCTCTCCCCGCTGCTCTCCTACTTCCCTCATCCTCTCTGGGGCCGAGGGGCCACACTCGCACCCTCTACTCCATCCCCTCCTGGAGTTTCAGACCCTGCCGTGCCCCTGGGCACTGGTGGTCATCTTGTTGGTCTTTTTGACTTAAACGGAAGTCCCAGAATTTCCTCTCGATGCTTCCTAAGCTCCCAAGCTCTGGTCTGGTGCCTGAGACACCCCTGCCAGGGCCCAAGGGGCACCTGGACACTCGCCTCTCTCTCAGCCTCACCTCTGCTCCCTCACCAAGCCTGCCCACCTGGCTCTGCATGGCCCCACCCTCACCCTGGCCCCTGGCTCCTGGCTCCAGGCTCCTGGCTCTCAGGGTGATTGATGCAGGGCCTGTCCGTGTCTCCCTGCCCCCACTCTGCCCTTCCAATCCCATTGTCCTGGGGATTTATCTGGGGATAAATCCCAGACTCCGCCGGGCCGGGCAGAACTGCTGGTGCTCCCCCATCCCCATCACACACTGTGCCCCGCCCTCCACTCGAGGCCGCACTGGCCACCCTTCCTTTGCTCCCATGGGCCCTTCCTGCTGCAGGCCTGTGCACGTGCTGTGCCCCTTGTCTAGGATAACCCCCTTCTCCTCAGGAGCGCCGACTCCTCCTCTCCATCTCCATCTCCATCTCCCCTCAGGGCCTCGGTGCTCCCTCTGGGCCTTGCCCTCTTCCTGCCCTCCTTCCCTCTCACTGCACAGGCCTGTGGCCACATGGCTCGACAAATGAGCTAAGCTGTTAGTTAAGAAAAGGCATGCTAGCTGAACACCTACTATGTGCTGTGCCTTGTGTGCTCCAGGCTCTTCCCACCCATCATCTCATTCGAACCAGACAACAGCTCTGGAAGGGTGGCCTTTCCAACCTCATTCTGTGGACGAGACACCCAAGGCCAAGGGGGGTTAAGTGGACTGCCGGAGGTGACACAGCTGACACCCAGGCCCCTCTGGGGTTCTGAGGCCTCAGTGCTGACGTCACTCCTGTGAAGCCAGATGCCAGCATATGAGTCATCAACGCCCCATCGGACTTGAACTCTGGACATTCTGACACCCAGACACGCGGACCATGGCCACCTGTTTGGGAGTGAAGACTGGGTGCAGAACACCGCCTGCAAGCCTCGTCCCCTGTGTGGGGTCAGTAATGAAACAAAGCCAGCGTCACAGAGCTGGGGAGACTGAGGCGCAGGTGCGGCTGGAGACAGCACCCCCAGGAGAGTGGGCCGGCATGGGGGTGCCGTTTCCATTTCCCTTGATGCAGCTCCTGTCCTGGTGCGACGGGTCAGATACTCTCGGGCCACCGTCCCCTCTGTCGGGGCCCCGACCCCAGCAGGCGGCAATGGCCAAGCGCACGGGAACCGTGGGACAGGACTGACAGCCCCCAGGCTGCCACACCCATCCCGCAGCCCCTTCTGACCCTTCACCTGCCTATTAGAAAGTGGGCCTTTCTTCCCATTTCAGAGCCCAGGACACTGAGGTTCAGTGAGGGTGAGAAGGACCCAGCCTGAGAGTGTTTGCTTCTGGTCCCAAGGCTGCTTCAGGCACTGGGGTGGCTCACAGGAGGTAGATTTTTAATAATAATAATAATAATAATAGTCACGGTAATAAAACACAAAATATAGCAACTCGGTAAGAACAACCGTCACCCACAAAGCTGTTTGCTGCCCACGCGGCCCTGTGCTCTCCGCACCTCCCAGTGGTCGCCTTTGGACCCTGACCGCACCCACAGCCGCGCTGGGCACCCGTTCCCCCTGCCCAGGCCGGAGCTGAGTGCGGCCCGGTGCCCCCCGACCATCTCCCCTACCATCCTGCACTTCCCCTTTGTCCTTCCTCTTTCCCTTTGTATTTTTAGAAATCACTCTGCTCGCAGCCCTGCTTCCAGGGCAGCTGGCCTGGCTTCCCCTTTTCCAGGGCAGGAGGAGGGTGCCCTCCTGAGGCCCCCAGGCCACAGGCTCTTTGGAGTCTGGTGGGACGGAGGGGTGTCTGGGGGAGCTGGTCCCCGCCCTGGCCTGCGCTGCGGGTGCATCGTGTGGCTTCCTACCCACTGCTGAGCCGCCTCTGTGCTATTTTTAAGAGCGCTCATACTTCCTGCACCGGTCCGCTACTGTCATTGGTCCCGTAAGCACTCTGTTGCCTGGTCCTCTCACCTTCCTGGCAGGCCCTGGGGGAGGGGGCTGGCCTGTTCCTGGGTGTCGCACACCCATGGCTAGAGGAGGGGACGCAGGCCTGGGGAGACCTTTGCCACTGTCCTGTCCATTGCACAGGTGGGGAAAATGAGGCCCATTGTGACCACCGGAAGGTTGGTGCAGAGCTGGGAACTGAGCCAAGTGTGGCTGACTGCAAATGCTTGTTCATCATTTAGGTCAGGTCGGGATGATGGCGCCCACCTCTAGGTGACAAACCTGATCTCAAAGAGGGATAGTTCCCCGGCTGTGGAGGTGCTTTGATTAAGACCCAGTCTGGGTAACAGAGGAATGATCTTCCCTTTCTCCTGCTTCCTTCAGGAAGTCTTCCCAGATTTCCCCTGCTCTTGTGGAAAGAGTGGCTTCCTCCTGTGCTCCAGGTCTGTGTCCATTTGCACACCTGTCCCAGGTCGTGGCCCTGCAGATATGCCTGCTCTCCGCCACACTGCAGGCCAGCGGCACCCCGGGGCTGGGCCTGTGCCTGGGCCACCACTGTCCTCAGCACTGCACTGCCCCAGGCCCTGTGCCAGGCGGCTCTTTACTGAACAAACGAGTGAATACAAGAACCGATCCATGGAGACCTCAAACCTTCCAACAGACGGCCTTTGTTGACTGCATGGAATCCTTGTTTCCAGCCCAAAGCAAAGCAGTGAGCCCCTTCTGGCCTCCGCTGGTGCCACTCCCTCTTGCAGCCCAAAGTAACCTGGGCTTGCTCTCCTCTCGGGCTTGTCCTCTGGTCTGCCATTGACTGGCTGCCTGATTTTGGGCGAGTCAGTACTCTCCTCCTGTTTATCATGCTGAGCCTCAGTTTCCCCTTTCATACCATGGGGACAACATCCCTGTTCCTCAGGACCCTCATAGGTGGAGACCACAAAGGTGGAGAGACAGGCATGTGGGGGGATTGCTTTGTGGTCTCATCTGCCCGTTGTATCTGCCGCACGACCCTGAGCCTTGCGCTGGCCCCCGCGGGCTCTCTTCTTGCCTGAGAGGTGCTCCCTGAGCCTGTGCCTTCTGCGAGCCCCGCCCCAAAGCCCACAGGAGAAGCCAGGGGCTCAGGGAGGGAGCACCGGGCAGGGAGTCCAGAGGTGGGGGTGGTTCGCCTCCGCAGGACAGCTTCCCGCTCTGGGCCTCCTTCCTTCCATCTGAAACTGGGGGTGCTGATATGGGTCTGGGTACGCTCACCGTGGGGGCGGGGCTCCCCGGAGGCAGGCTCCGGCTGCTCTGGGTTGGGTTTCACCTGAAGGAAGCCATCTGTCGCTGACAGATTGGTGCTGTCTGGACCTGGGGGACCTGGGCTCCCCGCAGCCCTTGTCTTCGGGGCTTCCAGACAATGCCAGAACGTTCCGAGAGGCAGGGCCTGGGGACCTGGCCCTTTGTCTCGCCATCTCAGAGAGACGAAGTGCCATGGGTGCCATGGGTTCTCCCCCTCCCAGCCGCACAGCCTTCCTCCTTCCTTCCCTCCGGACACGCGGCCTGCTTCCTGGGGAGGGTCTCGGCCATGGTCCCCTGCTGCTTCGGCCTGGTCCCTCCACGGGACCCAGGCTCTTTCCTCTGCTTTCTGCTTCCTTGTAGGCCACCCTCACGCCCCAAAGGCCACACAGGGGCTTCAGGGACTTTGCATCACCCAGACAGGCGTCAGTGTGACCAACATTGTCACCTTCAACACCAGCAGCCTTTCTTGGCGCCACCTTTGCACCGCCTGCTCTGCCCTCCTGGAATGTTCTTCTCCCAGAAACCCATGAGGATGACTCCCTCCCCTCATTCCGATCTCTGCTCTATCTTTTTTTTAATCCTCACCTGGGGAAATGTTCATTGATTTTAAAGAGACAGGAGGGTGGAGAGAGAGGGACAGACAGAATCATGGATGTGAGAGAGACGCACTGATGGGTTGCCTCCCCTATGCTCCCGACCAGGGATTGAACCTGCAACCTCGGTATAGGCCCCAACCAGGAATGCAGCCCACAACCTCTTGGTGCACGGGACAATGCTCCAGCCAACTGAGCCACCCGGCCGGGCAGGCATCTGCTCTTGAGGCCTTCTCCACGGCCCTCTCCCATTCTCCTCTTACTCTCCTGTTGTCATTCTGCTTGTCACCATCTGACATGGGACATTAGTGTGTTTACTGTCTGTCTGTCCCCTGAAAGCAGGGACAGTGCCTGCTGGACTCATTGCACCCCCAGCCCCCGGGGCACAGCCTGGCAGGCGGCCTGAGCCCATGACCACGTTGCATGCTTCTGCGTTTCCCACCTATGTTACAACCATTTACACACCGAGTCCTCCAGGGTCCCAGGAGATAGGTACTGTTATCCCCGTTCTACAGAAGAGGAAACTGAGGCCAGAGAGGTTGGCCCCAGGGGCTTACCTGGGTGGCACAAGTTCATCCCGAAGCCTCCAGGGAAGAGTGGTCAGTGCTCCTGTGAACTGCTGACCCAGCTGCCACCCGAGCTGGCCGGGCAGAGATGTGTCACCTCGGCTATAACAGGCCCCTTCCCGTTCGCCCCGCCCCGCCCCTTGTGAGGAGGAAGTCCTGTGCTGCTGGGGTCTGCGTGTATGCTCTTGACGTAGTAGCACTTCCTAAAAAAAACAAAACAAACAGCAACCCCCCGTAACAACAACAAAACAGCGGAGTGGCAGGCTCTCTTTAGGTTTTGGGTGTGAGCAAGGGAGGGATGGAAGCTGGAGAGAGAGAGAGAAGGAGGGGTGGAGATGTAAAGAGAAAGTGAGACACACACACACACACACACACACACACACACACACACACACACAGAAGAAGACTTTGAAAGACGGAGTCTTCTCCAGGAAACCATGGGCATTCACTCAGCAACCTCCTCATGTATAAAATGAGGGGTCACTCAACTTGGTGTCTAAGCTGAGCCCCAGATTCCACCTTGAGAAAAGAAAAATGGGATTCAGTGCTAGGGAGGGCTTTGCTTTCCCTCAGTGAAATGCCTGGTTTTTTTCCTCGCTCGTGACCAGTTGGGCAATATGTTCAGTTTCCCTTTTCCCCTAGGCTGCTAGGAAACTCACAGTGAAATCTAAAGCTCCTGGACAGCTGTTCTGTTGTAGCATATGGACTTCGAGGTTGAACCCAGCCGTGGGACCTCCAGGGCTGCCACTCGGCCCCGTGTAAGCCAAGGCAAGCCATTTACCTGCAGTGAGCCTCAGGTTGCTTATCTCTAAAAGGGTCTTAAAGAAGACGGGGGGGGCGGGGGGAAATAATGTGTCAGGTGCTGGGACTCAGGGGTACTCAGTAAACACTGTCTTCTTCCCCCTTTTGATTTTGCTTTTCTTCTCTGGTTAAAATTCACAATTTTATTGCTTGTTCCTTCTCTGGCAGGTTGCAGGAAAAACAATATGGTATAAAGAAATATCTATAAAATAAATGTCCTTTCCTTATAGCTTTGTGGCACATATTGGTTTATTCATCTGTTTCCCCATCCGTCCGTGTCTGGCAAATGCCGGGCACGTAAAGAGTGTTCGAGTGTACAAAACAAAACGAAGCAAAAGAACGAGACAATAATGGTGGGGGCTGATGAAAGGTTAGCTGCAATCTCTACCCCTCCCTGTCCCCACACCCCTTTACCCTGCCATTCCTCGCATCCAGATGTGGGGGCTGGTTCCTCTCCCCTTGAACCTAGACTGGGCAGTGTCTTCCCTGGACCCAAATGTGATGCGACAGGGCTTTTGAGACCAGGTCTTAAGAAGTTTGGTAGCTCCCACCCTTGCTCTTGGACCCCTGCCCAGTTGCCATGGGAACCAGCCTGGGCTAGCCCTGCTGGAGGATGAGAGACTGCACACAGTGGGGGGGGGGGGAGGCCTGGGTGTCCTCCGTGCCACCTGGTTACCGCCTCGCGAGGGAGCTCGGGCGATGCTAGAAGAGCCTCGACTCAGCCCAACCGAGGTCACCGCCCCGTGGAACGGTGAGAAATAACAACGTTGGTTGTTTTAAGCCACCAACTTTTGGGGTGGTTTATTGTGCAGCGAAAGCTCGCTGAGGCAGATGAAATTCAGTGCTTTCATTTCATTGGAGAGGAAACCGAGGCTCCTTTCTGGGACACGCTCGGCCGAGCTGGGTCTCGAGCGAGTGGCCAGCTCAGGACTAGAAGCCCGTCTAGTGCTCCGAGGGCCCCTCGCACCGGCCCACTCCCCGGGCTCTTACATAACTCAAGGTTATTTTCTAGGAAACGTTGAAATGATCTCCATGGCAAACTACATTTTTCTCAACAAATCTGGACTTGAGGCACAAAAAAACATTTCCCAGGTCCCTTCAAAAAGAAACGGGATAGAAGGCGTCCCTTCTGTGCGGGAAGGCGTTAGCAGAAGGGTCCGAGCCTGCTCTTCTTCCCCGGGCTGGCCTCTGGGAACCTGGGTGTGTGTGTGGCGGGGCCCCTGGGGGGGGGCGGTGTTCCTGCCACCCCCCCAATCAGAAGGCCCACTGTGTCTACACTGCCTGCCCAAACAATGTGGTTTATATTGAGCACCTGCTTTCCTTCTGGGAGTCGGGGGTTTGGGGCCGTGCTAGGCTTGTGTGGCCGGCCCCTGGGAGAAACGTGGCCACCGAGTCCCTGCCGAGCTCCCTGGCTGGTCCCTGATGCGTCTCCACAGCTTGTTGCTGGGGGGATGAGGTGCCTTCTGTGGGACTCTGCTGGGAGGGGACCCAGCTCAGGCCTGGTTCCCTCGGCCTTCACCTCAGGCTTTGCTGTTGTTGTTTTTGGTGCTTTTTTTTTTATTTTGCTCTGTGTCCTTCCGCTGTGATTGGTCATGGCTCCAGGTAGGGCTGTGCTGAGTCATGCGCCTTCCCCTGAACCTTGGGGTGGCACTGGGGACCCCTGACACATGCCCTGACACTGTACCCAGCCCAGGACCACGGGGTAGACCTCCCTTTGTCTGAAGGGCTGGCTGAACGGTTCAGTTATTATTACTGTTTTATTTTCTAAGACTCGCCCCAAATACCGCCTCCTCCGTAAAGCCTTCTGTGATTACGCCTCCCCTGCCCCAGCCCCTCCAGCCCTGTCATGTGTAGGGGCTTGTGTGCAGGTGGCCTGGGAGGGCGGGACACTCTCATGGTGGGTGGCAAAGGGCTTGGTAGAGTCAGTGGCACAGGAGCCACAGAGACCTGGGTTCAAATCCTGGATTTGCCCTCGTGAGTTGTGTGAGTTTTCCCCTCTGAAACTGTGGGTTTTTTTGTTTGTTTTGTCAGCTACAAAATGGGAACAGATAAAATAGGTTTGCTTACATGAAACAGAAAATCCAAATAACGGTTTAAAGAATTTAGAGGTATATTTATCTCTTGAGATAAAGAAGCCTGAGGTAGGTAACGGAGGCCTGATAATCAGGGATCGAGGCTCCTTCTAACTTTCTGCTTTTCTCAAGGTCTCCTCATGGTCCAAAGTGGCTGCCTGGTCTCCAGTCATTGTGCCTGAACTTCAGGTAGGAAGAAGGATGAAGATGGGGAGGGCTCCCTTTAAAGGGATCTCTTGGAGGCTCTTCCTGGCCTGAAGTCAGCCCTTCTTCCCGAAGCAGGGCTCTGCCTTGTCCAGGTTCACTGGATGGAGGCTCATAGCCGGCTGCGGGACAACACACACATTCCTCAGATGCGGGGACTGGGAGGCCCCCAGACAACTGCCATTGCCATTCGCAGAGTTCTCACTACGTGCCAGGCGCTGCGCTAAGTGCGTGTGCACTATCTCACCTCGCCCTTTCCACGGCCGATAAAGTGCATTATAGTCCCTGTTTTAGAGAGGCGGGAACCAAGCTCAGAGAGTTGAAGTCGCTTGCCCAGGGTCACGCAGCCAGGAAGAGGCAAAGCTCAGGTTGAAGGCCTGCGTTGTCTGACTTCACTTCCACACTGAGCTTGGGCAGGCGCCCCTGGAAATGTTCACAAAGCGGTTCATGGCCTGCCCACCCCTGGGGACAGATAGGAAAGGTCCAGCGCTTGAATCAAGTCATAGCAAAACCATAAGAATGACGCTTTCTATTTGTCCCAAAGCTCAGAATTCCTCACCTGGACACAGCTGGCTCAAGGGCAATAGAGCTGGAGGAGCTTGGAGGTGGTCTAATTTAGTGACCTCATTTCACACACAGGGTCATTAGACCCAGAGAGGGAGGGGACTCAGAGTAAGGGGCAGACTCTGTCTCCGAACCCATTTGGGTTCACATAGTTAGAGTACCCGATCCATCCATCCATCCATCCATCCATTCTTCTATCCACTCAGTCGATGATTACTGAAGCCCTACTATGTGCTGTGTGGTGTTCCTGGCACTGGCACAAAAGAGACAAAACCCCAGCTCGCCTAGGGCACGTGGTTGAGCCAGCTGAGCCGAGTAGGGCAGGCAGGCAGTGGGCCAGGCACGTGTCTGGGATGAATAATCTCTGAAGTCCTTCCCCTTCATAATTTTCTCAGATTTCTCATTTTTTCTAATGACTCAGAATTGGAGACAGGCTCTGTCTGCCAGATGGAGCGTCCCCGCGTCTCGGAACCGCTGAGCATTCCTGCATCTGGCCTGTGTCCCGAGGAGCGGGCGGGGCTTCGGAGGCCCAGGAGCTCTTCGGATGCGTCTGGGCCCCCAGACCTGTCACTCCTCCTTTGGGTTTGGCCGCCAGACGCACTGGGAGCCCGCAGCACAGAGGGACAGAAGGGAGTCAGACTCAGTGAGGGCCCATAATTCAGGAAGCCAAAGGCAGGGACGGGGGTCAAGGGCAGTGGAGCACACTTTGGTGTTCAAGGTCAGGTATAGAAATTGCCCCTAATGAGATTACTGCACACATGTGGAAAGGCGTGAGCACCTGGAGGCTCCTTGCAGGGTCACTGGTAATGAAATACTCCTCGGGGGCTGAATGGTTAACACACGTTGCTGCATGCAGACCACGGGCCAGTGTGAGTCAGTACAGAGAATGATGATGATGTGGAATTCAGGCATCTTTTGGTTTTTAGTAAACATAACTGAGTCTGGATTAAACTGGAATTTACTGGCTCAGTTCGTGGAGAGGCAGGGATGGCGTTGGCCTTGGGATATGAACACCAGAGGCTCAAATATCTTTGCGTTCTCTCTCTCCCTCCCTCCCTCTCTTCCCCACCTCCCTCCCCCATTCTCTTAGTCTGTCTTAGTTGTTTCTTTCTCTGGTTTTAGATGGGTTTTCCCCATAGGGCAGTCGGCCTGGCCATGGACAGCTCCAGGCTCACATCGAATCACCTTTGACTTCAGAAAGAGGGCCTATCAAAAATAAATTCTCAGGGAAAGACATTGATTGGCTAGGCCTGGTTCATGTACCCATCTCTGGGCCAATCACTGCAGCAGTGCGGAAGGAAAACCATGATTGGTCAGGCCTAGGTCACATGCCCAGTCAGAAGGGAAGCAAGGGGATGGACCCTGCCCCCAGCACCCCCAGGAGATGGGCAGTTCCTCAAAGGAGGGAAAACTGGGCAGATAAAAACAACAGATGCTATTCTGAGAGAAGCTTTTGTCTTTTGTTTTCTTATAC